TCATTTTAAATTTCCGGGGCCGTTACATTTCAAGTGCAGCACCGACACATATATACATATATAAATATATACATATTGGGATATATGTGAGTGAAGATCATGGTTTCAGTCTTGATATTCTAATGGGTTGGGCAAACTACTGGAATTATTTGAGAGAAATGAAATGACTCATTAGATGAGTTCTTGAGAATTACAGGATTGATTAATGATTACTTCCAGAACAAGTTAAAGACAGATTTATCAATTTTTACTTTTAATTCAATATTTTTAATTTAATATAATTAATTATCAAACAATTATCAGGAAAATTTTAATTTATCACAATGTTAATATAACTTTTAAATGTAATTAATCGACGACTTAATTAAACATTTTGATTTTAAATTAACCAAGTAGTATAATTTTTAAGTAGCTAAATAAATAATTATTATAATTAATTATTTTACATAATCATTATCTAATTTAGATAAATTATAAGTTCTAATTATTTCTTGATTCGTGCTTTGGCAAGAATCGGTAAGTCCAAAAAAAAAAACTCAAAAGGTTATATTTAGATCATAAATCCCGACATAATAAACAAGTAATATATATATATATATATATAATTTTAGTTTATTAGTATGTTGGTGAGATCCCGGTGATCGAATCAAATTAAATATTAGTAAATCTATTATATTTTTAAATAAAAAAATATTTTGTGATGTTTAAATTTTTTTAATTTAGATAATTACACTGGCTCAAAAATTTAAATCTAAGATTTTCTTTTATTAAAAAAAAATTAGTTGATAATCGAAGTGAGCTAATTTAGTAAAATATAAATATCAATTTAGTTTATAATTATTAACAACTCAATAAGAGATAATTTTTTAATATAAAGAGATAGAGAATCTAAAAAACACAAAGAATAAGTATAATACACATACACTCGAAATTATCTGTTTACACCCGATTCGTTTAATATATATATATATATATATCTATATATAATTTTTTATTATTATAAATATAGTTATATTTATATTAAAAATAGAATGTCTAAAAAAATATTAGTTTTTATTTGGCATTAAACATTTAATATAATTGTGCCCCTATTACTATTAATATATAATTTTATTCAACATACAATTTTACATTAATACTTATGATCATGCAAATCAAACCCTTTATTTAATTTGACATTCTGAGAAAGTAAAAACTAGATACACCAAGCTTCACTACTACATATATATATATATATTTGTAATAAAAGTCACA